AAAGGTAGCGTAATCGATTTTCTTCTTCGTTACTGGTAAAGATAGCTTTTTGCGGATGAAACCACAATTCGGTCTGCAGTCGGTGCTTCGTCGAACGAAATTAACCGTTTCATCATCGACACGGTGAGGACAACGTAGCTATAGTGGCTGTTCTGGGACACCAAAAACAGCAGTTCGCGAGCCAACGAAATATGACCATAAAAGAAACAAACTTTGGCGTGTTTCCCGTTAGCAGAAACATTGTCAGCGTCTGCACGATCTTAAGGCCACCGGTTGCCTCTTTTGCTCCTTCTATTGCTGTCTTCATGGCGGCGGCACCACTTCTTCTCTGGATGAGGAGTCTTTTCTAGTTATAAATTTTCCCTATCATAAATAAGAAGGCAATCGTCAAATAAATCACACGCGCGCAGCCGCACAACGGCAACGCCGCTAGTACTGGCATTCAACAGCTGCCGCAGTGGTGGCCCTGTCTATTTTGTGCAAGACTGGTGGAAGAAACAAATAGTTGAATCATCGGGGGTGATCTCGAAGACACCCAGTAACGGCAACGAGGACGACACATTGGCTGAACAAAAAAAAATCGCCAAGGTAAACGGTTAGCTCTGCTGGCGATGATGATACCGTGCGAGTGCCAGTGGATATCAAAAGAGCCGAACAGCGGCTTCTAAGACATGCTGAAGTGTCCCATCTGGAGTAGTGAAGCCGTTCATGGACGACGAGAGAGAGAACGCCAAGGTCCTTGTCCGAGGAAGGGTAGCTAGCACATCGCCTCTATTTTCAGGGCGTAGCAGCAAAGACATTAGGGCTGTGCAGCCCGCAATCGAGCGGCCGCTTCATGTCCTACTAAATGACTTCATAAATCAGCCATTGCTAGCGCCGTTGCTGTCTGGATCGAGATCGCTTTTGCCTTTCGTGCCCAACAAAACTCACGCCGAGAGACCGGTAGAGGAACTAACACGGAAGAGAGACGGTGCGACAGGCACTAATCGTCCTTAAGCATATGCAATTGTTTGCAGATGTGTGTTTAAACGAGTGAACATGTGTCGCTTAAATGCTAGCGGAACCTGTAGTGAAAAGGAACAATGCTAGTGTCTTATCTTGATGCACTGAAACGTTGTAATGCTCTACAAAAAAATATAGTAGTAATTAGAAATGTAGAACACGCTTACTTGCGATCTGCTGAAACCGGCCTCGGACTGTTCTATACAGTTAAAGGTATCGATCTATGACATAAAGTTCTCGAACTTTAATACTTAGTTGCGATCCATGTCTCGTTTAAATAGCTTCGCCATTTTTGAAGATCACCTGCGCGAAGTGACGTCGCTACTACGAGTAGCGGCGGCGACGACGACGTTAAACATGGACGTCGAAATCAAAAAAGGAATCCTAGGAATCACTACCAGCGTTCAGCTTCGTGGCCATGTGCGAAGCTGTTAAAGAACCAAAGTACAACCGGAAGAAAGGAAGCCTTTTAATACTACTCAGTCAACACAGATTCTCCGACAGGCAGGCCTAGGCCTCGGCCTCGGCCTGTATGATTAGCCGACCTTCGCTTGTGAACTGCCCGAGCCGAAGCCGGCAGTATTATTTTCGGCCGCCGCCGCTGTTGCTTCTGCATCCGCTGGCCATATGTTGTTGTTTGGCAAATTCTTTTGCCTATTAGATAGGCAGACAGGACGGCAAACAGGGGTTACGTCTGTTGAAGCTTTAGGCGGATGTTGCATCAACGGTGTGGCACACGCCTTTACGAGCATAGGAGCCACTTCACTGGAATTATTCTAACTTCGTCCCTCCCCCACACGTTCAACGTAAGTGGCACATTTTTGCGACGCGAATGTTAAGGCGACTAAAGCGTTTACTGTACGACCTTTCATTCCTGTAAAAAGCATTGAGATGCTGTGGGGAAGGAAACAGAAGTATGCGTTACTGAAGCTCTCATATATCTATTCTGTTTCTGTTGCTCGTATACAGGCACGGAGAGGTGAAGTCTTGTGGAACTGCCTGCCACACAACTGTTGGGGCCGTTACAATAAACTTTCCTCTAAAATTACCAGGAATTGATGTCATGTTAGGGTCTCGTTAGACTAGCGCTTCCATATACCTCAACGAGTGCTGTGGTTCAAACTAAAAGTGTGGACTTTCGAGTCACATCTATAGTCGCCGTGTCCGGCACACCAGAACGCCTGCTGTTTCGACTGATCAGAGGAAGATCGGTTGCTGAAGACAGAGGAGTCACGACCATGAGCACGACCCTGACAGCGACGAAAAACAACACAACGAAATGAGAATGGGGTTGACGCGAAGCGTCACTGAGAAATAACGGGTAGAGCTAAAAATCAAGAAGAAACGGTAACTTGGACCCTGGCTACGGTTTTGCAATTAAGTAACTTTCGATGCGCATGCGTGTGAGTCTAGCATATTCTAGTATTTAACTTTTTTATAATTGTGATTATATAGATCCAATACGTTATGCTAATGGGTGCCATATATATATTACTAATTGGGGATGTTGCTATTGTCAAATGTAAAAAGGTATTATATCTATGTTTCTATAAAACTCCTTGAGTGCATCGAGGACTAAAATTTGGCCATGCAAGCACCTGCTTGCAAACAGCAGAAGATTCAGTTGTAGCCAAGATTTATATTCCAAGATGTACTACGCAAGCCAATTTCTTTATTAGAAACGAGATAATTAGCGAGTAGTTTCGATTCGTTTGAACTATACTTTACGCATAGAAAAAAAGGTACAAACAATGATAGTAGCACACGAGCCTTAAGTTGATAGAGCGAATAGAAGTGGATCATTTGTTTAGCGATGCCTAGAATGTGGGTGCTTCGATATTAGACACCCCCTTAGATATGCAAGTCGTCTGGGCCTAGCTGCTGCCAAAGCATCTAGCCAGGACCCCTATGATGATTTTTCCGATAATGATTCTTGTGGCAAATCCTGAACGTTGTTTAGAGGAGCTTTTCGATAGTAACTTTGCTATGCCCGTGAGTAATTTCAGCTGAAAATCAGAGCAGACATTGCAGTACATTTTATTATAGGACAGTATTATACGATATATTATCGCCTATTTATCTCTTAGATTCGTAGTATTTTGATAACGCTCTAATAACTAATATTAGGGACTGCATTCGGCGTTCTATCAATAGACTGAAAGCAGAGTGACGAGTGAATACGAATGTATCGTGTACCCATCCAATACGGAACGTTACAAGGAAGGACAGCTACATTCTATGGCTTCACATGAAGGTAAATAGACTAAATTTAGTGAACAATAGTACATTACGTTAATGTGAGACTGCTTTCCCGTAACGTTCTAGCCAACTAGAAGCTAATCTGGCCCCGAATCTGTGACCACACTTTGTCGCATGATATTGTGGCTCTTCATAATCGCTGAACGGTATAAAGATGTTTGATTATCAACATAGTATAGCTGGACGGACAGTTTCCTTCGAAAGTAAGTTACAATACGTAATATGCGTTTTAGAAGAGCGACATAATGCCAGCCAGCGAGCATTCAGTTCCACATGAGCAACAAATGAAGCAAGTTAGCTAGCAAATTACCGGAACCTATGCTCAAAGGGTAATTTCTGACATTGTATACCATCTTGACAGCAGGAGTGGAGGGAAAAGTGCACTGGGCTGTTGTTGTATATGGCTGCCACCATAATCGATACAAGCAGCCAAACAATTAACTGTTTGCTAATAAAGAGGCAAGCATCACTGTAAACAGGTGTTGACCCTCGCGATGAAGCGAATACGACAATGACGCCAGTCCCCTCAGACAAAGGTTCCCTAGCACAGATCATGAGCCGCCTAAAAAGAATGGAGCTATGACATTGTTATTACACGATCGGGCCTGCTGTCGCATAGGAAGAACAGACACGAGCAGACTAATTTGATGAGGCAAATCTTGCCTTGCGTAACAAGGAGATGAGAGATCCGGTAAATAGGTACTTTTCAACGTGCGGTAAGGCTAGCTAAAAATTAAGCTTTGTTTATGCGTTCCCATAGATTGTTTTTGAGCGTTCAGTTTCAGCTCGGCTATAACCACTGGTCTCTACTTTTTCAACATACAACTTTCCGCTTGAGAAGCAAACTTCACCCAGCTTAACTTCTACTGAATCCTACCAAATCTTGTTAATATATCCTCATCGCGTTTTGTGACATGAAAAATTATTTGAGAGTTGCACAGCTCGTATTGGGTACCAAGGGATGTCCTGGTTTAATCAATTGCGCGCAACCTGGCGTGAAATGCATGTCACAGAAGAATCCATGGTTGGACGAATCGGTGTTAATTTGGGAGTGTTTTAGAGAACCGCGTGCAGCTCAAAAACGTGCTGCACGGCATGTAATAGCACATTCACTTAGGGCACATCGTTTGTTAGCCCAAAAGCTGTAATGAATAATCATTGTTGCACTCTAAGGTCTCAGGCTGGACCGCGAGCTTGGTTAGGCACACTTCATACGTTTCGTAATAATATCCAAAGCGGCGCTAGAACCGGAGGTCGTGCAGCGCTCAAAGCCAAAGGTAGGGCAAAAAATGCTTACGCGACAAGGAAGACTAAATAAAGCGATTTTGTTCAAAATTGTTTTGTCGTGGCGCCTGGAAGCTTACATGCAGCTTAACAGTGAGACTTTAGACAATTTCACTTTTGTCATTTAAACTTTGCCCCACCAGATCAGTAGGTAACGGGTTCCATTTGTATTTTTCAAAGCAACTTAACAAAGATAATTTCGTCTAACAAACATGAAGCTGCGTTGGACGTTCAACCAATACGATATAGATGTCCGACGGACCTGACCGACGCGCCCTCAATGAGACTAAAATATGCGCTTCTGACCAAAGGGGGTCAATTGTGAACTTTAAATTTAAAGAGGGTCATACGTTCAAGATTATTGAAAAAAAAACCCACAATGAGAGTCGAAAGATTTTTTTATAGTATCTCTTTAAAGCTCAACTAAAATAGAACCGCTCGACACGATAATTAAACCTATACCTTTGCATAAACTAAATTTCAATGGCCTACTGCTTTTTTTTACAAATGCTTTATATATGTATGCGTATATATATAAATCGCATATATATAAAATTACTGTGAATATTAGGATGTTGCTGTTGTTATTCTAATGGTGCATTGTTTCACGTTTGAACCATATATAACGGTTACAGATATAAGCTGCCTGTTGTTTATTACGTTTTCCTGCCGCTTCTTATTGCTAATTTGGGTCGAGAGTCAGATCAGACCTTTGTCGTTCCTCGTAACTTCGCTTTCTAATTGTCTCCGTAGTATTGGCTTTCTTGATACAATTATTTCCATAGGTTTATAGACACGATTGTCAAAATAAGCCTTATACTCGCCGATGAGATACATCATAAAGCAGATGCAGGTGCATAAATGTATAACGTATATGTACAAAAGGGGATCTCTCAGCTTCCGAAAAGGCGCGCTTGTTCCGTCTATCCCTACTCGAATCCTGTAAGCATTGAGGAGAGATGGATAAGTAATCACGATGAGATGAGATATAATTACGATAATTTATAAGTAAAGAAGAAATGCGCAGGCGCTAGAAGGAGGAAACCTTGAGCGTACTACGTGCGAGTATCCTTTGTGTTTCGAGTTTTACGTCCGGTATCGCCATTAGACATTCCACGAGATAGACGACCGGCCGGCTGGCTGGCTGGCTGGCTGGCTGGCTGGCTGGCTCCTAGCACAAAACGTGTGAGCAGTGTCCAAGATAATATAATCGGTCTCTAATAGAGGGAATACTGATGGCTGCGTTAGTGGGCGAAGCTCGAATGCAGTGATCACTGCGGTGTCGTCTAACATCTGCTAGAACATACATATCTCAGTAGAGTAAGGAAAAAAATCTATCTTCACAAAAGCAGTGGCTTTCCCTCAATAAGTTCGTAGTACATACGTATAGTCTTAATATTGACGCTGTGATTTTTGCTCGTCCCAGGCCTGTTACCTTCAAAGTATGGCTAGCAAGTAACTCAACTAAATGTGTGTTCGTTCTATCGGATTGTATGCGGACGTGATTAGCTATCCATATAGTGATTGCGCACCGTAGCCACAGGACAAAGGTCGTTTTTTCGATATAGTCAAGCGTTTCAGGTCACGCACCATGCTAACCAGTGTTTTGACAAAGCTTACCAAAACACTGCACAGCTAGTGATATAGATTCAATTAGAGGTACAGACCTTTACTATTAGTCATCCTAAAGATGATGTTTTTAAAAAAAAAATTACAACACGGAATTATTCTTACGACATTGTGTCTCTAATAGCGTTTGTTGTCCTTGGCATTAAACAACGCGTCGTATCCCGCTTTCAGTATTTGATTCACTCCTCTTGCGTCCTAAGTTTACACACAAATCACGTAAGTTATCTTCTACGACTTAAGCTAAATTGACTATTTAAATAAGCGTTCCATTAAGGTGAATGGGTAGCGTATAGTAAGTTGGTTATTAAACACCCAAATACGGAATCTATTTCATAGAGAATTGTTCAGATCAGATGAACTGTACAATCGTAGGCTAGCTAAGAACAGCGAAAATTCGCAGGTTTAATTATAATTTGATTTATCAGATTTGGTCATTTATACGTTACACTGAAACATTAGCTCTATTTTCTAATATATCTTGCTTTTTGCTCCGCAGTGTGTTAGATTTTGCTTGTTTTTTTTCTATAAAATCTATACAAACATAGCAATCTTTTACGAAGACAAGGCCACAAAAAAGGAACGGACAATATTATCTTAGGAGACTATAATAGTCGCTGTTTTTCTTCCATATTTCTAAAGTAATTTCGTTGCATACCCGCATAGCAGACAAGTTTACGGGTCTTTTCAAGCCATTTGTGTCTAACACAAGCAGATATTTGCATTTACGTAAAAATACCACGCTTTTTTTTCAAGTAGTCATACGTGGACGATTAATTGTCTTTCTTCTTAAATTCTTCTTCTCCCGCTTATTACTTTGTCGTTCTAATAATAGGTGACAGTCAGTTGGTCCTGACAACGGGGTGCAGGTACGGGGTGAGGTTAATGTACATCACGGCGGCAGTCTCGCTCAGTGAGACACAGAGCGGTTATGGATGACACGGCAGACGTTTATTCCACAGTAACATTAATCGCAATAATAACTACTTTGTGTATTTGTTGCTCATTGCACTGTGGGACGCCACTGCTTGCAGACAGATGCACAGAGTCAAGCTTACGCTGTTTGTGCTATGTATATATACATATAATGTTACAAACAGCTTCGTCAAAAACAACACAAAGGATCTTACCATTCACGGTAACACAAATATAAGCTAAATTTGCATTCATTACTCCTGTCGCCGTTTTCCTCTTTGTTCCTTGTTATTCAATAATATGATCACTTTACGGAAAGACTAGGGCCAGCACCAGCGACATCGGCTGCAACGTATGCATATTATATGTACATCCGTGTGCACGTACATGAACACAGATAACCCAGGCAGCCATCCGCCTCTACTCATATATACACATCCAGCGAAGGAATATTGGCATAAAGGGAAGTCTTATGGAAGCTAACAAAAAAAACAGCGATATGAAATACTTTTTTTCTTACGTTAGCCGGGGTCTGTCGTCTGTCTGTTGTCACTATGGCTGGCGTTGTTAGGATCGTCGTTGGCGCCTCCATGTATGAATAGCTGTTGCAATTGCCTAGTTGATTCGTTAATGAAATGTCGAGTCAGCGGCCGGTGGATTCCGCCCAGTCTCGACCAGAATTGTTTCTTCCGAGGAATAATAACAATATTTCTAATAAGTGTGTGTACAGTTGCGCTGGTGACGTCCACTGAAGCCGGTAGCGTCAATAAGAGCAACGACGGCAGCAGCAGCAGTCCTATTATTATACTATTAACGCTAGCTATGGCGTGTCGTAGATACAATAAAACCCACGTGGCGATTATAGGACTAATATTTTGATTGCCGTTGCTGCTCTGCCCATCGCTACCTTCCTGTTGGTGTCAACAACGGCCTCAACAGAACGAATGGTGCCGGGAACAACAGGAACAAAAGCAGAACGACAAGGAAGACCTGCCACAACCGCGACCTAGCAAATTCATATCGTCACCAGCGCTACTGCCAAAACGGCCAACACATCAGCGTTATTGCTGTTGAATCATCGGTGCACGATTGATTCGACGTGATACGTTATAACTGGGTTTGGTCTGGTGTGGCGTCGTACGCTGGTATTGCGGCTGTGACTGTGGGTAGTTCTCTGCTGTGAGTCCCGTGTCGGTATTGTAACGTTCATTTATGACGTGCGCGTGTGTATGTATGGATGTATGTACAGAGGCATGTGGAGACAATACGCAGAGAAGAACATGTCCCATAAACACGGCACAACTCAATGTTACTAACAGCCCGCTGCCAGAGGATCAGCGCGCACTCGCGCTGTCTGCATATTGACATGAACACACACGCAACTACCAGCCAGCTAGTTGGCAAGTACACGTTCACGGACACAATTATACGATGACGACTAAGGCAGAAACAGCAGCGGCAATATCTTAAGCAACATCTGTGATGACACGTTGATGGTGGAAAGTGGTCATAGATAAAGATGAGAAGAGAAATAGGCCGTGCGCTTTTTTCTTGTTCCACCCACGCGACTTGGCGTTTTCGCTCGCTGCCGCGGCTACTGCTGCATCCGCCGAAAAACAGGCCCACGGAGACACGTTTCAATCGTGATTACGGTTACGGTTAGGATTTCAGTTGGCACTTGGCCCATGTCGAACCTGAAGCCGACAGTTGGCAGACACGGGGTGGTGGTGCCGTCTACATACGAATATGTACTTATACCGCTAGCAGCTGAAACGGTGGAAGGGATTTGCCACAGGAAAGCGTAGTAACGAGCGATCGAGTGTGTGTCAAAGGGAGAAAGCATCCTTGTGAAGGAACTTCTGACTAGTCTGTTTTACCGCGTCTCCGTTGACGCCACTTCTGCTGATTGTCCCCCTGTTTTTGCGACCAGCGGAGTCTTCCGAGTCATCTAATCATTATAGACTACAGAACTCAGCACAGAGCGGCGATGATCGACAGCGTGTCGTCGACAGTAAAGCAATGAGCAGACAACGTCTTTCCTGCTTACTCAGTTGCTACCCCTACAGGAACCACAGCCATCATTGAAATCATCAAAATTATGTAAGTTCATACCGGTGCATTGCCGTCTTGCCACACTGCCTTACAGTTGTCGTGCTATTGGCGTGTTATCGTCAACTATCGGATAGTAGCGTGACGTAGGGAAGTGAATATACGTGCTGCCTTCATTGTCTGGAGATACGTTTACGCTACGACCGACTAGCTGGCGGAGAAACCAACGGACAAAGAGACAGGCAGGCAGAATAAAAAAGCAGAGATGGCCAGACGTGGGGTAAAGGAAGCAAGATTGATGGACATCTACAAAATCTTCGCGAAGGACAAGAACAACGACAGCAACAATGGTGGAAGACCAGGCTGGATGGCAGTTTGGCGGATTTACCAGCTGGCAATCGCTAGTTAGCTGGCTAAGATTCCGTTGGGATGATCCATTTGGTGATGTGCTATTATTGCATGTATAGATCGATGTGCCGTTTGCGTTGCATGTGTATGTATGTATGTATGTATGTATGTATATACGTGTAATCTCCGACCCGCCGAACAGCTAAGCACCACGCAGATAATATAGGAAGCATTTGGTTTTGAAAGAAGCAGCTCATTAAGAAACAAGCAGAGCTGATTGGGAAATCGATAAAGACAAACGTAATTTGTCTGGCAAAAAAATATGGTAACCGAAGTAGATTATCAGAATAAACGTACTTCATTAGACGAAGTTGAATAGCTGGAAATTTTTTTCAGAGATATTGGAATAAATGAGAAGGCCTAAACTTTGATTCAGGCTATATTTATCATCCACCGTCACCACCTGTCTTGTCCCACAAGACACACACATAGCCTACCTGACGTTGGTAATAGATTTAAGATTATAGATATTAAAAGCTATCATTAAAGTGACACATTAGCGTTCGAGGCATGAGGTAATTCGAGCTCAGCCAGGTAAAAGTTGCTCGATCCAATGGGTTAAGAACTATCCGTAGCTTCAGATAACAACAATTCAGGAAATGTCCAGTCACAGAAAAAAAAAAAAACTTTCGAACGATGTACGACAGAGCAACGTAACATTAACTCTTCCACAAAAAGATCTCGTCATTCAGTATTTCTTCCGATCCACTTTCTATTTGTATGTTCAAAAGGGGTCAGAGAACAGCTGCGTTTCTTACCGTATGCCTTAAAAAGTTACCGTTAATGGCCTCTATGTTTCCCTGTCTAATTCAATTACGCATATAGACTTGGTGTCGTCTGATAAATACGCTATTTACGGAAAAACAAAAAAGTGGAGAAATAACAAATGACGACAACGCATTCTCAGCTGATATATCTAAAGTGTATTTACGACGTTCCACTGCTAAAATACAATGTCTTTCGTTGCAGACATGTAGCAAATAGTTTATCGAGGATTTTCGAGAATTTCGGGTATTCCAAATATGAGATAATCTTTACGGTTCGAGGGGTACAAAGTTTTCCCCTAAGAGGATATGCGAAACCAAAGGTTAAGTTAGAAGCGGCATATTTACAACGATGGAAATCGTTAATCCTATGTAATTTTGGAGATGCCGAATATCGGAAAAGCAAGGCCGTTTCATCACATATGTGGACAAGTAACTTGTTAGGTGGGCATCTCTTCTCTACGTTCATTTGCATTGTGGCCCTTTGTTGCCCATGAGCTAGTAAAGTTCAGCCATCCAATAAACAGTTGACCTATCGGTTCTCTTCAAAAATGACTAAGATCCTCTTCGTGTATAGTAGCAGTCATACTCCACGGAGTGGTTTACATATGTTCGTTATTTCAACAGTCACAGACTCCATATACAAATCAATAAATATTATTTACTTGACATTAAAAAAACTAAAAAAAAAATGTCATTTATTACTTGGAATAATGCTTTGCAACAATGTTCTGCACTAACCTATTGAAGCTTCCTCTGCAAACAGTTGCATCTAAATAGAAACAATTCAAGTTGATGTAACGTAGCATAAAGTGGAACGACGGGATCGTCACTATCAACTACATAGGGTATGTTTAAAGCAATACTGGTTAGCTTAAGATAGTAACAATGGAACACTATCTAAAGTAAAAAATAAAAACTTCTCTCAGTAAAAACCCAACTTGTCCATCAAAATCCGACATGGAAAGCCAAGGACCACGTCGTACTGCATTACCTAACCAGTTACAGAAAAGGCCACGATTACTCACATTGTTGAAAAGAAACAGGGTCAAATGTGTGCATAACAACAAACGTTGGCGGCTAACTCTATAATCCATTCACGGTGCTATTAGTTAAGGCGGTAAAGTGATATAAACAAAGCCGATGTCAAATATATGTTTAATCACAAATTTAGAAAAACATTTATATTGTCTCGTATATATGTCAATGCTGTGCGCCTACATCGAACCACCTACGACTGGTTATCAAGCAATAGGATTAGTATGAAACATAAATGCGACATCTCCCATAGCTGGAATGATGACCTACATACGTCCAACTTCCATTTTTCTTGATTTGATTTTCGAGAATAGTTGGCCTCCTCTGCAAGGACAGGGTAATAAAATCGTGTGCCTATCAAATATCTGCAATGATGCTCCGTCATCGTTCCGAGTGCGAATGCATTTAGATCAATGTTCGTCTATTGTTAGTTGTTATGTATGAAACTTGCCTGAATGATTGACTTGCACGTTCGTCACATACGCTTGTGCACCGGCGTTCGGGCCTCTTATCCTGACGAGCGGCTACAAGCTGAAATGGTCTCATCACGCTATCAATATCCGCGGATGCTGGTTCGGTCATAGCAGCACCATGCAGTTCCTATATTCATTTCAAGCTAGATGTATAGGTTATACTAGGCAATATATCGAGAATCAATCATCTGACCTGCACATAGATGGGGAATGCGTACGCTTTACAAATGATATAATTCTTTTCCAATAAGGAATAATCTATCGGACTAAGAGCAGCCATCGCAATATTTGTATCGGAGCTGGTCTTCCTCGACTATTCTGTCGAGTGAAACGATAATTGTCGCGTGGCAAGAGAGCGTTACCCATCCCCTGCCAGGAAGGGAGAAGGACGCAGGGAATAACAGGACAAAACAATCAGCCAAAAAATAAATACATTACTCACTTTAATTCGCTCAGCTTCTATTCGAAAACAGTAGGCTTAAAACTGAGACTAGTTTTTGCAAAGCTGATACCAGCCTACATTGCATAGTCCCACTAAAATCGCAATTCGCTGACCGTCGAAACAAGGCACAAACCTCCCAGGCTTTAAACTCTTGAATTCGTGTTCGCATATATGTACATATGTATGTGTCTGTGTGTGTACGCGCTTACTCAGACCCTTGTTATAAGCAACCTGTACCTTACATCGGACGACAAAATCTTCTTAAGGATGAACGACTACTTTACGTAAGGAAAGCTAATATATGGCCATTTTATCCTAGTAACCAACTAAGGATCTTCTGCAAGGAAAACGCAAGCTATAAGGTGCTACGGCAATTTGTGGTGATATATTTGAAATTTCGAATAAATTCTCGTCACGACAAAGACTTGTGAGATATGCTTTTGAGTTTCCGGTTGGTCTAAATACAATGAAAGGCAAGATAACTACATATATTTCAAGTTATTCATTGCCTGAATTTATATATGATGCTTGCTGGTTATATAATATACACGCGTATATATGTTTCTCGGAAAAGCTCTTCCGTACCGATCGGGAGAGCCTAGATGTTTATTGCGAACGTAAATTAAAGGCGTAGCGCACAAAATCGAATTTTTTAAATCACAACTATAAACACTATTACTTATTACAACGTAGTGGCTGATAGACGAACTATAAATCTGCACGATATACAAATGCATGCATATCTTCGCTAGTGTATTTATTTATGAAGATAAGAAGTGCTGGCTCCATGCCATTTCGGATAGTCTCCACCAAAACATCTTCTGACGTGACTACATCTATCAATCCCTATCAACTAACTGTAAACAAAGACAAGATCAATGGTAGAACCGGATAGTAGCAAAATAAGATATTCAAGACGTATACATATGGAAAACAGTGCGCAGCTTAAAGGCTCAGGCGGTTCCAGCGAACCCTACATTCACTGCTCATTTCTTAATTACTCGCGTCAAGTCTCACGGTAAACCAGCGCTGTTCATTTAATAACAGAACTCAAACATAGATACAAACGTGCGAACCTATATAAGCGGACGTATAAAAGACGTATAAATGTCAGCTGTAAATGGTGATACGAACGGCAACGTTGAACACAGACAAATCATTACCGCAGGATGCTAACGCACAGAGACTATGGCCTCTTCTAGCCATTGCTGAGTGTGGGGCAGCCCGTTGCACTGGCGTTGTCATGGCAACGACTCTTGCGAGAAATGAGGTGGATTAGCCTTTGCAGAAAGGGAATTTATGAGCCACGAATGTTTTCAACGAGCCCCCTACCAAACGCCGTTATTTGACTCGTCTACTGAATAAATTCGCCATCTAGATATTTCCCCTCGATGTCTGGCTAGAACAAAAAGAATGAGATTGGTCTATAATATTTATACGTACACTTAAAATTTTAGTCCGTAAAACTGCGTCTGGAATGGGCCGACGAAGATAGCAAGACACCCCTGAAAACCTTCTAGTAGTTCGATGTCTTAGTGCGTTAGTACTTGAATCCAGTGGTAGCCAAACTGAAAAATAAAATGTATATATATATATATTCAATGAAAAGGACAACATTAATGCTTTTCTAAGATAGACAACATCAAAAAAATAATAAACTAACAAACACTTTTGAAAATCCGTTTCCTCTTTTCTCTGCTGTCAGTTTACATATAGTATTTAGTCGCGTAACCTGCTTTTTATGTAATCATTTTATGGCAACACCCTTATATCTGACGTCCGTCAATTTTCGATCAGTTTGCTCATTCCTATCGTTTGCACACCAGTGCTATATTGACGTACGTATTTTGCACTGTTATCCTTACTTCGATTAGAAATCATTCAGTGCATGCGTATGTTTCGCGTGTGAATACGTTCCTGATGCGACGTAACACAATCATAAATCCACATACAAAAACAAATACATCCATCCAAATATTGGTTTAAGGCAAGCAGTAGCAAGGCCGCTAGCAGTGGCAAGGCTATTGGTACATTTTGTTTCTTTTTTGACAATCTGATTCGTTCCCTTCAGCTTAATCGAGCCTCTCCTTTCACCGACTGACATTTGCTAAATGAACTCAGTATGGCCATGGCTACTATATCGTATCGTTTTACTAGCCATATGCTATGACCTACCAGTCGTAAGCTTATAGTGAAGCTTCAACGTCGCCATCTTACACTTCAGTCGATCCTTGTCACCTAGCGAAGCTGAACGTCAACGTGATTTGCTCGAAGTCGGCCCCGATCATGCCAGACGCGCGGCCAAGTCCTATGCAGTGTTAGCAGAAGCAACAATGACCGCGGATCGCTTTGAAAAATTCTAAGGCTACACATTGCATGAGAAGGACTATACATCGATATTGCTCCTTCTACGACTAAACGGTAAGATCTAGCAGTAGCGCCATACTTATGCGCTTAGCAATATTGTTTCACTGAAGTTGAACATAGAAGTAATGTCAACGATGCTAAACATATATCGTTGCTCTTTTATCTTGATCAACACTTCATGGCCATCTGCAGTGTAACTATCGATCTAGCAGTAGTAGTACTGTTAAAAATAGTCGTTTACCGCCACCAAAGACGATGACAAATTTATCCGTATTATATATATGTGTGTGCCAACACCATAAATATATATATATATGTCTATCCTACCTGCTTGAATCAGTTATTACAGCCAGTTAGTTAAAAGAGATTTTGGCGGCTTTTTAAACTAGGTGCCGCTAGCAGACGAAATTTGGCTGATGAATATTGCACTTTTTTGAAAAAATTAATGATTAGTTCTCAAGTTTTCGTTTCTCGAAAGTTACAATGGTACTGAAATTCATTGATGAATGAATGAGATAAAGTGGTCTTAAGCGTAAATGATGCAAGCGTTCTAAGAACGGCGGTTGAAGACCAAAGAAAAGGTGGCCAGGGGCAAAAACTCGAGAAACTGAACCACACTGCCGCAAGCGGGAACGCCATCGCGTAGCTCGGAGTCGCGCTTGACATGTAACGTGTTACAGAATTATCTATATCTAATCAATATATTGCTCTGAAACAGCAAAAATCGGAAACTGAGTAAAAACTCTATTTTTCGTAGATTTTCTCAAAATGCGTGTGGTGTATTCCATACGCAGTCGGCTGTACTTTACGGCAAGGCACAAAAAACTCTGGAGCATACAAAAACTAAATAATTCCTCGAAGAATGAGGAATTCTTTAGTTTTTACCCTTAGCCGGGGAGCGATCAGGCAACAGAATAACATGGCCTTTAAAAGAAATCGAGTCCGTGTTAAGTGGGTTCAGCTATAAGGTGAGGATTGTACTTGTAATGTACCTTCGGGGCATCTGCTACTATGAAATACTTGCCAAAAATTAAGCAATAAGTGCAGCCCACTATCCTGAGTTTCTCGAAAGACCCATTGACTGGCACGACAGTCAAAAGCAGGCCGTTTAATTACTTAATGACAATGCCATGCCTCATTTATATTCTGGATTGAACAGAGGAGTACCCAAAGTTTGCTTCAACCCGCTTATTCTTCCGATATTAGCTGACTTGGTTCTAGTACTTTTCATGCCCAAAAAGGACAAGTGGTCGGCCAGCATATTCCATCGTCTACTTACCTCAAGAGACCATAAAAAAAGAATTTGCATATGGTAGCGCAAATGGTAGGCATATAATTGTCCAGAAGCTGCCGGAACGCTGGGTTATATGTGTAAAAATTAACGAGGAGCACCTCTACCGCGTACAAGAAGGTATCGTTCTAACCCACCTAGCTCAAAGGTTACTCAGTTTCATAGTCAAGCGGACTCGCTTGTAGTGAAATTACTGAACAAAAACAAACGCTTGTGTAAAAGATGCTTCTAGATCTGTATTGCTTAAAAGGATCCGGTATTAATACTTTACTTAATTGGGCCGAAACCGAAATGAAAAATTAGCAGAGAGCTATCACGGATAGCAAGCAGTAGAAAATTAGGGTTTCGAATTTATCGCTTTTCTAAATTGACGTTTTAGCATCTTCACCAAATCAACATTCTCAATGGCCAAAAAAATGCGCTACTAGAACACAATTAAAGCAACGGTATTTGCTAATAGTGGAATTATATGTGTTTGTGATGCTATTGAAATATCGTTATATGTGTTACTTATGTATTCATATGTGTATTGTCGAAATGGGTCCGTTTTTTAGGTAGCAGACATATTTGATTGCCGACCCACTTAAACAATTCAGGGAAACAACTAATGTTTTAACAACTAACTAATGAAACAGTGTATACCGTTATGCCGAAATAGTAATATTAGTTTTAATGAGTCTACTAATTACGGTACTCTTGAACAGTATGGATTTAGTTAATTTATAAGGCCGTGGATGCTTTACCTGCGTTTTGAAAACTAAAATGGTCCTTTTCGGGCCGAATATGTACCTGAGAGGTATAATCATCAAGCGTGATAGCAACGGTTTCGCTGGTAGAGGACGGTAACCCTGCACTACTCATCATACAACACCAATCGCCTTCCGCTTCGTCGCACACATCAGCCTTTGACGGTTCCGAAAACTCCTGTACTAGAACAGACAAATAAGAGCAATTATTAATTTGGTAGCGTTATATTGTATATGCCAAAGCAACCCAAACCGTATACGCCAATTCGACCATTGCTCAACGACCACTGTACAGGTTTAGTTTTTTGCGCTTTTTCTTTTAGGTAGACGGTCTACGTAGAAGGGATGGAAATTACGGATCGAGTCTATACAAGGAACTGCTTTTTTTGTGGATTATCGGCAAGCGCCGACTTTATGGTGCCACTCCCTCCAGCTCTGTTGAAGATCTTTCTTCTTCCTTTTAACTCTCTACGTTTTTCCTCCCGGCTGGCGGCACCCTTGACCGACATTAAGGCGACTGCTTCGTCTTGTGTAATGCGTTTTACTCTCAAGATCGAGATTAAGTGACGCTGCTTCGACCCGAGAAGAAGCCCACAACAGCCATAAGCCTAATGTTGCCGAATGTCCTTTGTATCCAGACTCAGCGCCTTGCGTCTCGTGGATGTCCTATTACTGTGTTATTGTGCCATCCATCGGAGAACAAGGTTCAAATGACTTCCTCTTCGACTAATGTAGCAACAGAAAGCGTCAGAGGCAGCAGCGGCAACTCTAGGACGACGTCGCTAGGTTGGAATGGAACGATACTGCGGATAGTTTGCTCATGATTCGATGATAGAATGAAGCCGATTTTTTTGCCGCCGACAGCGACGCAATGGAGTTGGATATCATCAGTAGCAGAAACTTATTTCTGCCGCGGCCTCCTGGTATACCCTTCAAACACTCGACGCGTACCGCTTCGAAACCCGTTAGCTACGTGGCTCCCTGCTATCGGTTCTGCTAGTAACGTTACGTGGGTTAGCGCAAATGGGTAGCTGCATTGGCAGAGTTGATGGGGCAGCCCACCGTGGCAATGGAATAGCAACAACAATGAAGGCACCCATGACCACGCCTTTATACGGGATCTAAACCAGTTAGAGGCAGTATGCTGCAAAGGTGGCGGAAGGCAAAATCTGTACCCAGCTTCTCTCAGATAACCTACACTGCCAAGTCGATCGGGAGAGACAACAGGGCAATCCTCGCTTGTCGTTTTATCGACAATCGTCGATGACGATCTGCGACAGCGCTAGTAGACGCCGATAGGTCGAGCTTGATTCTCTGCTCCATCTAACACTACTGATAGAAGTAGCCATCTGTTATGTGAGCGCCCTCGGACGGGCTTCTTACAAAAACAGTTTTGGTGGTGATATTTATACACATATACACGTAGGGACAAGAACGGAATGTTTTCGCTTGTCAAGACGAAGTGTGTGGTTGCAGGTCACGCTTGCTCGTACGCGATCCTACGACGCTTGGCCGAATTACGTCATTGTTGCTGTTACCTTTCGACAAGATGATACGAAAAAAGAAAGGGCTAGTTTGAAAATCGAATACATTTTAACGTAAACTAAGGATATATCGCTGTATAGCAGTATAATAAGCTAAACACACATCTGAGACCAAGCATTGAGGCGTTTGTTGTTATTCGATTCTGTCATTTTTTTCCCTTGCAAAGCGAAAAGACAACAGAGATATGAGAAATCTATTTATCATATATGTGGTTATCCATCATGAGTGCGTTTTTTTTTTGATGTTTTCTTTTAACGCAATTACGTGTTTCTACATGCATATGTAAACGCCTTTGTCTGACGACGCACAGGCGACGACTTCGTTAAAAAAGGGTAGATGCAATGTCCGGGCTATCGTTTTCGATGTAGATTTGCTCGAGCTATGTAGATGGATAATCTATTCGAACTGGGCATATCCGTAGAACATGCTTTCCTATTTTCTAGTTTCTAAATTGTGATGAGCACGAGCTTAAAAATGGTGGCAATACAAAATGGCTAGTTAGTGCTCTCTAAAAAAAAAAATCTAGCCAGACTATGTGCTACTAAGGTATACTAGCACAGTTTATAATAAACTATAGATTTTTCCTTAATATTTTACACCTGACAGCAGTATGGCACCAGACCAATCGCTGTTAACAATATCATCAATTATAATTTCTAACTTCATAGGCGCTCTTTATAGTTCTCTATTTATCTAAGGTAAGTTAGATACGGATATTGTCTACAGGTCTAGACTCGAATCCGATAGTTTTTGTAGAACAAAACTTTTCCATTTGTCCTATAAGCCCTGACTGATGTCTGTCGGTTGCCCCAACGTACGTTAGAATTCTAAGTGACACTATTACAAATGACGGTGTTTGCTGTGACCAAACACACGCCAAAACGCGTCGAGCTGAAGCAGCAGCAGCAGCGGCCTCAAGGGCTTCAGAAGCTGAACCTAACAGAAAATGTATATCTGGTCCGGAACCATTTAACATAATATATCTTATTGCTTTAATATAATAGGCGCCGTTTTCAAATTATACAATTAAGAAAACTTGAAGCAGCTATAGAATTTATGTATACGACAGGAAATCGTAAGTAGTACAATCAATCAAAATGTATTGCGTTTCATATGAAGAGAAACGACGTAAAATGTAAATAATTAACGCCTAACTGAGAACAAATTGACTCCAGGCCATTTGAGTCGTTTATGAAGAAATCATTATCTAAAGGCTACAAGCAGCGGACATCGTCGAGCTCGTAGGTTGCGAGAAACTTAGTATTTCATACTATTGGGAAGCATGATATATTTGATCATTCGAAAAGTTTATAGCTAGTAGTAAAAATATCGCCTATAATAAACGATCTGTCAAGCAGGTTAGATAGATTACCAAGTTATATGGGCGCAACTTAAGGCGTTGATTAATTATTTCCATAATGATCTCGCCGTAATTTAGTGTTGCGGCGGTCTTTGACTACCTAGCGTCATAAGTGAAAGTCTATTTGAAAGCGTCTCCGCGGCAGTCAGAGCACACGCGCCGTGATACGAGATAAAAGCGTACTAACAACCAACATAGTCCACCAAATTTCCCCGGCCAAATTTGACGAAAAAAAGCGCGTATAGTCGTCTGCGGAAAAGACGTAATTGGACGTCTAAAGGTCTCGGATGTTATTTTATATCAAATAGATTTAAAAATGGCGCTTTTTTTTGCATCGATACAGCCATCTGCATGAAAGATACATCTACGCATCAAGACGAATAGGCAATAAATCGCCTTCGTTGCATTGTAAAACCCATAAAAAATGATACTACTGTGTCAGGTTAGTCCATCGAATTAAACACGACCGTCCGAAAATGCTATTGTACCGCGCAGGATTCTGCATTTTCTAAAAGTGGCTATTTTTGTCACGTTCTGCCTAGCCCTTGCCTTAGTAAATACACAACACTCACTGTCGGGGGGCACCACGGTGCATTCATCCATCCTTTTAGAGCACCAAGTAGACAATAAGGGAGTGAATGCAAAGACTTCAGAAATTCGTGTTGAATAGCAGAGATTTTGATGGCCGGAGCCAACTTTACGTCACTTTCCTTTTTTATAATGATCGGTTACAGACGGACCGGTGACTTTCTGTTTAGGATGTAGCATATATATATATATATATATATATATATATATATATATATATATATATATATATATATATAACGGGTTTTATTGCAGTGAAGAGCTAGACGTCTCCGGTTGGAGCTGGCTTCTACGCTTCGTCACGCTTCTATCGTAATTATAAGGCGATTCGGTTGGCTGTTCGACTCTTGGCGGGACATGAATATTTTCGAATTAAGCAAATAGCTCCACCTTCGTTGAAATAAATAAATATGGGTTACAGTTTACGCTATAGTCGGTTGTTGCGACTGCCGGTGTTGTTGTGACTTGTGTCTTTTGATAAACATTGTAGCCCCCTGTGATCGACGGTTATGGCTACATGCGCTCCGAGTCCTGCCCGACTCGATTTGTACACGTAGCTCCTTATTGGTTAGTGTCGAAAACTTTGCCGCGATCATTACCGCCGCCGCCGCCGCTTAGGAAGGAACTAGTTCAAAGTCGCTTGTTTGTTTATATCAAACACGGTTTTAGTAGATGATAGCATGTCGCCGACGAGCGTACAGAGCAAGCTTTGGCGGTGATAGGCTTGTGTTCCTCCCTGTGGTAAATCCTATTACACTCGGCTGCCCAACAAACCGTAAGTTATTAGTCAGAACGCTATCGAGGGATAGAAATAGACAAGGCGGGGCGATGACAAATAGAAGAGCGATACCCTTTATGTGTGTGAGCCTGCAATTTGCATGTAATGAAAAAACGGCCGATCTACCACCATGTTAACCGACACCGGTAAGCATAACGCTTTCAACAATTACGACTACATAAATGAGTAAAATACATGCTAAGGCATTCAACCAATTAATCGCCTATCTACGTACAATGGCTGCTGTAGGGACGAAGTTGCTCGTGCGAAAAAACAAAAAGAGGCGACACTTATCAACTACGTCCTGTCCTGCCTGCTTGCCCGCCCTCCTGCCCACCTTCGTTACTGGGGCACAAAGTAACAGATGGGGCGCACTGCCACACATGCCGCCAATCCGCCTCTATCCAAAGAAGATATGAATGGAACTACGTAAATGCAACTTGTATTTGTTCAATTAAGCGACCATTGTATGCATAAAAGCTCATTATAAATATATCGAAGATTATATTGATTTCCTGCGAAATGAAAAAAGTAAAGCGTATAATAGGTACGTTCGAAATGTCTACAACCGGCACGGATCTACAGCTACTAGGAAAACACACATTCGTATTATTACTAATTAAATATTCAGCAGGACCCTTTATGAGCACTAGTTTTGAGATCGGAGAGGTTTCTGGCCCCTGCTTACAGTGTGATCCACTTACAGAGTGAATAAGTATTGATGTAGATACTTAATGTAATCCATGTGAAACAGTCAGCTTTCAAACGACAGAACCTCCTCACAATGGACGGATCAGTAGTGTTTCGCGTAGCTAGAGACGCACGAGCCAGCTCAACGATGAACTGGAATGGTATTATTATATTGCGCCTGTTTTTTGTCCAATTGAACTCTGCTACTGTTAGCACAGTACCAGCGCTATGCTCGTGACGCTTATTTAATTTTTTCATCCAACTACTAATGCTGTTGGGGTACGATGAAATTTCACGTAACTCACACGTGTTGCTCGTCTTGGCAAAACAAACGGCTCGTAACCGTAACTTTTTCTCTTACTCAATGCTCCGCTTGAATAAATCAAGTTTGCCTTAGTAAAATTCCCGCATGCTTCATTTGTCGAAAAGTTTGATAACTAAATATAGGTAATAGGGTTTGAACTGTAGGCC